CAGTCCTCCGGCCCCATCCACTCGGACCCCATCTAGGATTAAGTCGGGCGTGCCCCTCTACAGGGGTGATCTATATTTTTTTAAGGGGGCGATTTTTCGACGCTTCTTTTATCATGTGATCATTCTGGTGTATTGTTTTCCTATTTTCAATTTTGGCCCAAAGTCCGCCTGCAGGTGGACATACCCGACGTAACCCTATTGCCGTTTCAAATCAAATTTTTGGAACATGAGAAAGGAGTGAACAACGGCTCCCCAAACGGCAGCAATATAACGACTCTGGGATCGGAAACGAAGCCAGAACCGAAAGACACACATGGCAACGGAGCCAGGACAAGTTGGCGCCGGGACCGGCCACAAGCACGGCGGAACGGCACCGGCAAGGAGATGCTTTGCCGCTTCCTGGGCCCACTAAGACAGTCAGGTAAAGATGGCACGATTTGCCTGGACTGGACGCGTGACTGGCCCTCCAGACGGCGCGCGCGCGCGCGAGCGCGCCCAGGTGCGCTCAGGAGCTCCCACGGGTTCGTTGGAGGAGGGGCTGTTGCGCGCACGTGGACCAGGGCCTTTGACTTTTTGGCTCGAGGGGCGACGGCGAAGGCGACGACGACGACTCCGACGGCGACGGCGACGGCGGTTGCGGCGGCGACGACGAGGACGACGACGCTGGCGACGGCGAGGTCCAGTGATCAGAGCGTGCGACGGCCCCAACGTCGGAACCCAGAGGAGCAGCCCAGCAAAAAATCAGAAGGAGCCGCCTGACGAACATGCGATCAGCAGGAAAGCCTCAGTAAATTTCTAGAAGGCACCTAGCCCCGTGCCGTGGGCAAGTCGTCCTCGGATTCCACGGCTGCCTCAAATTGATAGCATAAGAGGGTGCAGCGGTCAAACAGGATCCGTGCGAGACACGTGACTCTCCCACCACTCGGATCCGTCCAAAACCTAACGAGTCCCGCAAATGCTCTCAAACAAACAACTTCGGATCCGTGTAGAAGCCGTAGCGGGTCCTTACCCGGATCCGACGCCCAGAGTTGGAGGAGGAGGAGGAGGAGGAGGAGGAGGAGGAGCAGGAGGAGCAGGGGGAGGAGGAGGGGGAGGAGGAGGAGGGGGCCAAGCCCAGGCACGCAGGCCACTATTGCCGCACCGGCCCTGCAGAGAGACTTCGGCGCGCCGCACACCAAAGAGGCCCACGCTCGCCCAGAGTCGCTCGGGCGTGCAGCCGACCAGTGGGCCGCCTACGATCCGATGCGATGCGATTCGAT